ATAGCTGCCTTTGTAGCTGTAAGTACAGTATGTGTGAGGTATGTGGGTTTAAAATAAAGGTTACTTGCTTTATTAGGAATATTCTTTACAGGAAAGCAAGTTACTGTTAACTTTTATTTTATACCCACATACACTGCAAAATGAAGCTCGTCAAACATCTGCTCTAGAAGCAAATTCTCAGCTGCACAGTCAGAACGAGATGAGCTTTTGTGTTGATCAGCACACGGTAAACTGAAGGCAGGTGGAGAACACAGAGTCCCTGGAACATTTCGACTTGTTCCTCTTCACTAAGCGCTGCACTGAAGAGGCTAATACAAAGTCTTCAAATCCACCACATCTCAACCTGAAGAAACACGTCACTACACGCTTCCTCCGAGACGCTCAGAGAAATCAGAACCAACACTGAATTACTCATCTGTGCACTTTGATAACATTGATCATATTTTATCTCCTCCACCTGACTCATCATTCTGGCACATAATGTCCGAACGAGATGAGCTTTTGTGTTGATCAGCACACGGTAAACTGAAGGCAGGTGGAGAACACAGAGTCTCTGGAACATTTCGACTTGTTCCTCTTCACTAAGCGCTGCACTGAAGAGGCTAATACAAAGTCTTCAAATCCACCACATCTCAACCTGAAGAAACACGTCACTACACGCTTCCTCTGAGACGCTCAGAGAAATCAGAACCAACACTGAATTACTCATCTGTGCACTTTGATAAGATTGATCATATTTTATCTCCTCCACCTGACTTCTGGCACATAATGTCCACTTTTCACAATGATTTTCTCATTAAATATCTTATTTCACTTGGAAATCGATCAGATTATGAGAGTCGCGTCTCTATTTTTAACTTCGCACAACATCTTAAAATGTAGCACTAGTCTAACAGTGTGAAAAACATTTTCATTCAATCATTTAGCAGATGCTTTTATCCAAAGAGACCCGAGAACGAGGAACATCACAAGCAATTTATCACAAGAGCCAACAATATTTGCAGTACATGAAGTGTAAGCCAGATAAAAACAGCATAACGTAGTGCAAGACGTCTGCTGGGAGTATTTGCTTATAGATTTTTTATTCTCATCCACTAAAAGGAATACCTGCAGCCAGTGTTATTAATTAAAAGCATAAAAAAAATCCCTTGAATTAAAATCAAGAATAATTTAAATAAATGAAATATTAAACAAAAATCTTCAACTTATTTTACTTCATGAGGAAACACTTCTCATAGATTAACTAAATATCTAAAACTGGGGGGAAAAAAATCATAAAAATGAATAAAAAACTACACAGGCATTACAAAAGTGAAACTTTAGAATTTAAATGAAAATGGAAAACAAAAATAAAAACTAATTCAAAATATTAATAAAACTAGTATCACACAGATTTTAAAATAACACTTTGCAACATGCAGCTTTGATTATGCAAGGGAAGATTTTCAGGAAAAACAAATAAATGTGTCTCTATTCCTCTCACAAACCTATCATATGACTTCAGAAATACAAGCACACACACACACACACACACACACAAATAAATAAATAAATATATATATATATATATAAGGTGATGACAATTTTCACTCAGAAATTGCTAGTAAATTTCACAAATAATAATAATGTTGTAACACATTACATTAAACATGAATTTTCAAAATAGAAAGAAACAGACCAAAACAGTATTGAAGTAAAATGGTATTTTATGAAGTAAAAAGTACTCCAATAATCTTATTTTAACTTAATTAATTTAAAGGGGTCATATGACGTTGCTATAAAGAACATTATTTTGTGTATTTGGTGTAATGAAATGTGTTTATGCGGTTTAAGGTTAAAAAAACACATTATTTTCCACATACTGTACATTATTGTTTCTCCTCTATGCCCCGCCTTTCTGAAACGCGTCGATTTTTACAATAAAATGCGCTGCACACATCTGAATATTTGGGTTGAAGTGTTCTGGAACAGTGTTGTAAATACAACTTAACCACTGATTTCTAGTCGTGTCCTCTTTTGGAAGACCAAACAAAGTAGTTTCGCTTTCGCAACGAAACACACAGCATCTCCACGACATGGCAGCGGCAACAACAATACTACAGAGAGAATAAAAGTTACACCTTTTTTCTTTGCGTGAACATTTGGGCGGCGTTATGCAAATCTTCCCACACAGTGACGTAGACATGTGGGGGCGTGTTAGAGCGAGGCGTTTTAGGAGGCCATGGACGAGTCTTAACTTTTATAAAGAATATCTCTATTTATAAAATACTATTTTTGTGGTCTACGGGAAAAATAACAGTGTGCAGGTTTAAAATGACATGAAGGTGAATAAATAATGACAATGTTCATTTTTTAGTGAGCTATCAAACCACTTTTGAAGGTAAAATGCAGGGATTTTCTGACGGCTGAACATCAGCGCACAACGAGTCCATTTACTCCTGACAGTAACTGTTATTACTGAGAGGAATATGATCTCACACCTGATGAGAGCGATGCATGGCAAACGCTGCGCTGGAGTTTTCTGTAAATAGAGCCGGGGGCTGAAGCGGCGCGGCAGGTGCCTTCTAGACATTTCTTTGACGTTTCACATCAAAGTGCGAGGCCGGCTTTGAACTCTCGGATACGGCCTCACCGTAAAACTGTCCCAACTCTGGACGTTTCCATGCAGAAACGAGAAAGAAGAAAGGCTTTCTTGGATGTGAACTGCGGTCTGCTTGAGCTGAGACGGGTCATGACTATTTCATCAGTGAGGTCAAGGGCGTTATATACAGTACGTCGTTTTTACTTTGTTTCAGATGCAAATTTTGTACAATGTAGATACTTTAATATCTAGGAGAGAGTTTGCATTGCCTTTAGATATCAAAACATTGAGCTTGAGTGACAATTTCACTGTCTCATACAATTCAAGACTTCAAATCACCTGTGAGAAATGCGAGGACTATGACGCTCTTGTGAAATGAAAAAACAACAGATATAGATAAAACACTGGCCTTTTTACACATTCAGACATTCAACATGATGCTAAATCAGCCCAATCATTCATTTATATACTTTAAAGGAATAGTCCCCTTTTAAAAATATCTCAAATATTAATGTACCACAGAAAAAAGTAAGTCATATTGGACTGAAAAAAAGAATTTAATACATAAATTAGTATTTTAAGTACAGTAAAATACAATTCTTATAATTGCCATCAATTTTTTTTTACAATTTTATCATTTATAATTTACAATTTCTGACAGCAGTAATATATTAGTCAGAACATTATAGTAATACTAACACTACTACTACTAATAATAATGAATATAATATTTTACTACCTCTAATAATAATTGTATTAATAAAGATGATGATTTTTTATTTTACAATACAATATATTTCCAAAAATATAACATAATAATAATAATAATAATAATAATAAATTATAAATAAAAAATAAATTATTATTATTCAGTTTGACTGAGTGTCTAAAATTTAATTTGCACTGACTACAGTAATCAAAAGGAGTTTAAATATAGAGGTTTGTCCACAGTCAATAAAACACTTTTATATAATAAAACACGATTAAATATCTTAACTATTAACTTGCACGTCATGTGACCATTAACCGACAACAGAGAACCATAAACATGAAATGTGGCATTAAATTATTGAAATATTAACTATTTTACATCTAAGGTGTTTATCTGAGAAAAAAAAAAAACGTTTTGAAATCCCTGACACAGGGGGGTAAATAATAAATTATCGTCAGTTTAAGACCAACTCATCGAGCACTCATTCCAGCTCAGACCGGTCTAAACGAACACCAAAGCTTAATTTATGTGCATCGAGGCTTTTGAAATCAATAAAAACACATCCCGAGCTCATCTGGAATCACTGCGAGTTTGTTCCACTGAGTTAAAGTCCGCTGTCATTATATAAGACTGAAAACACGGCCCTTATCAATATTTGAAGAGAGGCTCCGCCCCTTCATCCATCCGTCAGAAACATCCTTGCCAGTCTGAATGTAATTAACCCAGCTGCATATGCAATGAGATGTTTTCATTCATTAACTCAGTCGCAGGCACTTCTCTTGAGACACGAGCGGAAAGCTTACAATACAATTGTTCCTCCTGAGCTTTATGCTTCTTTAAAAACATCAGGTTTTATATTTGTGCATTTATATAATTGATTTGTTTCTGCAGCAGTGATAGCATAGCCATTTTGAATTTTTAAAGGGACAGTTCACCCAAAAATAAATATGTGCTGTCAATTTGTTCACCCTCAGGCCATCCATGATGTAGGTGACTTAATTTTCTTCAGTTGAACAGTAAAGCAGATTTTTAGCTGAAACTGTGGTCCTTGGTGATTCATAAAATGCAAGTCAATGGCTACCAGCACTTTAAGAGTAAAAAAAAAGCACATTGGGCAACACAAAATTAATACCCATGACTCCTGATGATATATTGAGGTCTTATGAAGTGAAACGATCAGTCTGTGCAAGAAACTGAACATTATTTACATAATTATTAACTGTAACCCAGAGCCTCAGACAAATGGTTTAAGGTGATGTACGGTTCACAAACGAATCATTCTTTTGAACCGGTTCTTTTTAGTGATCTTGATGAACTAGTTCACCAAATCAGACTGAACCATCTTAATCAAAACTCACTTTTAAACTAGTCTCCGACTCGGAATGAGCCAAAACACCAGTCTATCTGTTCCTATGATGCTGGTTTTTGCAAACTGGTGAATTGTAATTGAAATGCACTGTCCAAAAGAATCAGTTCACGGAAAAGAATCAGATTGCCTGTTTGCCTGAGGCTCTGGATTACAGGTAATGATGATGCAAATAATGTTCAGATTCTTGCACAGACCAATCATAAGACCTCAATATATCGTCAGGAGCCACTAATTTTAGCCTGATTTTGTTTTGCCTGATTTTTTTTGTTTTACTCTTAATGTGCTGGTAGCCATTGACTTTTATGATTTTTATGACATTTTGTGATTTACCAAAGAACATGGTTTTAGCTAAAAATCTTCTTTACTGTTCAACTTAAGAAAAATTTATTTTTCCTTTTTTTGTGTAAACTATCCCTTTAATAAAACGGGCTATGCTCAGAATAGCATACTATCTTTCTACTCATGCATTGCATATTACCATTACTGCAGTATGCATATTGTATGAAGTATGCAAATACTGTATGCATGTAATGCCCAGATGACTTTAAATGTATGTTTGGTGCAAATAGTAGCACAGAAATGGCATGCTTTACCTTTTAAAATGTGTATATACGGTTAAATTAGGCTAATTATACGCCATCCTCCATGCCTGACCTTCCCCGTCAAATCATAAAAATGCTTGTAAACACCAGAGATTTTTAGGAATGCATGAAAAATGAATGTATTTATTACAGTAAAACAGCACTTTCTTAAACAGTGTAAGAAAAACAAGATAATTCCTGCAAATAAGAAAAAAAACAACCGTTTGCAAACTTTTTTTTTTTTTACTGTGCAGGTTCAATATTTCTGCTCACAAAGCCACAGGAAATACAAGAAAAATCACATTTGTAACAGACAATATGTTCCCTAACTATTGAACATAAAAACCTAATGAGCAAAGAGAAATAACTTGGACGACTTACAAACTCTGAGGAAAACTGCGCACCAATGCGTTTCTGCTTCGCCTTAAAATGTTTACCATTAATAGCTCCCAAATGCAGCCATTAGCAGGCGATAGTACAGACGTCGCTGCTCATGAAATGCCCATTAGGCGTCAATGTGCTGCACAATAGCTCCAGTAGCTCTACTGAGACTCCAGTGCAGAGTTTGAGAGCATCAGAACCGCCACAGAGACTCTTCTCTAATGAGCTGCTGCATGCAGACATTCACATACAAGACACACACAGCGACCCCAAGAAGTTTTCATGCATTAAAGTCACACTTAGAGACGTCTGAATGTCACTGCATTGCATTAGAAAACTTATATGGCTTAATTGTTCTTCTTTGTTATTCTTCTAAGTCTTCTTTGGGTCACTGTATGTGACACAATCTGTATTGTTAAAAGCGCTATATAAATAAAGGTGACTTGACTTGACTTCTTTGGGTCACTGTATATGAGGGCATTTGTTCTTATTTTTATGGCCAATTCTGACCGGTGACAATTTTATGCTTTAAGCTTTTCATAGTAAAATACACTCTAAAGCTACATTGAAATGAGAACTATAACGGTCTGAATCAATGCAAAGTTTTTAGTAAATTCTATTGTCAGTGTTTGAATTAATCGGTTGAAACGGACAGTTTGAACTGATGTACATAAATGAATCATTCCCATTTAAGTTCTGAATAAATTAATTGTTCAAATTTTGAAGTCATTCAATTAAACCGATGAATTGAACGGATTCACGTGAAGGAATCATTCAAGTTAAAGTTTTGAATCAGTTCATTATTCAAGTTTTGAATTAATTCTATTGTCAGGGTTTGAATGTAGCTTTAGTATTTAGCTAAATTGATGTAAATATTTTTTTCCACAGAATAAAGTCAGTCATATTGGATTAAAATGAGTTTAATACATTCTTGAGAAAGCCAACCTACTGATCTGCTATTTAAGCTTCTTATTATTCTTATGAGACTAAAATTTCTGAACGCTACTCCTCCTAGAGCTTTCAAGCTAGAACCACCAAACTCAGCCCAGCTCTTCAGACTGATCGGACTCGGGTTGCTATATCTTTTCAGACTGATCCGACTTATAGTTTTCATAAAATTGAAGATTAAAAATCATAAAAATCCCACAGACTTACATTGACGGAATGTTCAAATGAGCCGAGACTATTCAAACTCCAACTGTCAAAATTCAAATCTAAACACACTGAAGCCCATTAGACACAATCTGACTTCCCTTCTATGTACTGTTTCTAATCCATTCAAACTCATCTATCTAATACTTCTAATCTATCTATCTATCTATCCTAGCGATATGCTAATCATGCTAGAAACGTACTAACAACATGCTAGTAGCATGCTAATCATGCTAGAAAAATGCTAATCATGTAAGAAACATGCTAGCGACATGCTAGTAACTTGTTAATCATGCTATCAACATGCTAGTTACTTGTTAATCATGCTAGGAACATGCTAGTGACATGCTAATATTGTTAGAAACATGTTAACGACATGCTAGTAACTTGCTAATCATACTAACGACGTGCTAGTTACTTGCTAGTCATTAGCTAATCATGCTAGCAACATGCATCATGCTAGTGGCATGCTAATCATGTTAAAAACATGTTAACGACATGCTAGTAACTTGCTAATCATACTAACGATGTGCTAGTTAATTGCTAGTCATGCTAGTCATTAACTAATCATGTTAACAACATGCTAGTCATTTTCTAATAATGTTAACAACATGATAGCGACATGCTAGTAACTTGCTAATCATGTTAACAACATGCTAGTTACTTGTTAATCATGCTAACAACATGATAGCAACATTCTAGTCACTTGCTAATCATGCTAGCAACATGCTAGTCATTTTCTAATAATGTTAACAACATGATAGCGACATGCTAGTAACTTGCTAATCATGTTAACAACATGCTAGTAACTTGCTAATCATGCTAGTCAGTTGCTAATCATGCTAGCAACATGCTAGTTACTCGCTAATAATGCCAGCAACATGCTAACGACATGCTAATCATGCTGGAAACACGCTTGCGACATGCTAGTAACTTGGTAATCATGCTAGCGACATACTAGTCACTTGCTAATCATGCTAGCAACATGCTAGTTTACTATTTCTTATCTATTTATCTATATATCTGTCTATGTATCTATATATTTTTCTGATAGATTGTATTGCCTTCAAAACTTTAAAACTACTTCAAATTAGTTCAAACTGAAACCCCTCAAACTTTTAAGCTTTTAAAACTACTTCAAAATTTCTGGCTAGGTTTTTGCAAGCCAACTTAAAGTTTGTCTACAAACTTTACTATCTAGTTGTCACTTGTAGTGTAAAATAAAAATATTATTTTATTATAAATCTTCTAATTTTACAGTACAATTGTAATAACAGTAATATATTTCCAACAACAGTAATAGCCTAAATTTAGTTAAAAACAAACAATTATTATAATTATTATTATTATTATACTAATAACAAAAACATTATTTTACAGTACATGACATATTTCTCTACATGAGAGATTTCTCTATCTCTTCAGTACATGAGACATTAGTACCTTAAAAATAGATTTTAGTTGCTAAAATGTACTTATTAGTAGCTAGATGGTACATACTAATACTTTTTGAAAGGTTACCGCAAGAGTGGCTTTTCTGAGAGTGTTAATGGAAAAACTCTACTTTTGAACACAAATAAACTAGTGCCATGCTATTGTACTAAAACAAAATTACTCTCCAACAAAATTACAGTCTACAGCTTCCAGAAAAATAGCATAAATTGGCTCTGAGCGTCTATTTTCTTTTTTTTTTTTACCCATGAATGATGTGATCTGCTCATCTCATGGAAACAGATCAATACCATCCAATCTCCCATCATTCATTTGATCAGTAAAGGGCATCAAAGACGAGCGTCTCCCCCAGCGCTCACACTCACATACTGCTGGGAGAACAACATACAGGTAAAGTCTGTGTTTCTAATAACTAGTTTTCCAGCTGAGCCATGTTTTAGATTATTAGACTGATTATTCTGTCTAAGAAACATTAACTTTAAAAGGAAAATGGTAGGGTGTCTGAGCAACACAGAAAGCAACAAACCAGAGTTTTTGTTTTTTGTTTAGGAACCATTTGGAGACATTAAATCAATTATCCTGAGTCTACAGCTTCCAGAAAAATAGCATAAATTGGCTCTGAGCGTCTATTTTCTTTTTTTTTTTTACCCATGAATGATGTGATCTGCTCATCTCATGGAAACAGATCAATACCATCCAATCTCCCATCATTCATTTGATCAGTAAAGGGCATCAAAGACGAGCGTCTCCCCCAGCGCTCACACTCACATACTGCTGGGAGAACAACATACAGGTAAAGTCTGTGTTTCTAATAACTAGTTTTCCAGCTGAGCCATGTTTTAGATTATTAGACTGATTATTCTGTCTAAGAAACATTAACTTTAAAAGGAAAATGGTAGGGTGTCTGAGCAACACAGAAAGCAACAAACCAGAGTTTTTGTTTTTTGTTTTGTTTTTAGGAGCCATTTGGAGACATTAAATCAATTATCCTGCAATAACAGACTGAAAACAAAGAAAAACGTATAAATAAATGATTTGACAAATTTAAAAATAAAAATGTAAATAAATTAAAATAAGAAATATCAAGCCGAAAAAGCATGCATAATGATTTTTTCACTGTAAATTATAAGACACCTTCACTATAAAATTACATGAACTGTCCCATTACTTACAGTTTTTCACTTTTTTTTTCACTTTCACAGTGTAGAAATAGTAAATCTTAAAAATACTATTATCAACAAACTATAATATTGGATGCTAATCTCACATACAATACAGGACTAATAATACAGATTCAGTCTTCTTAATGAGAGCTGATTTGACCAACAGTAACGTTTCTGAAGACAGAAGCATTGTTCAGATTAAGTACATTTACAGCAAGTGCATGAATGGAAGCAAATGAAAAAAGGGTCAGACAATCAGTGCCATATACTGTATATAGAGACACAGATAGTAGGCACATCCTCAGTGGCAGAAGGGTTTATATCTCACATACAGTCCTGTACGGTTCAGCTTGTGTTTTTCCTCGTTTCTGGTTACCTTGGGAACACAGACGCCCACTCACTCACTGCTGCAAGGCATCATGGTCTCGCTTCACATCAGCAGGGATGTGGGTATGATCATGCACACCCTCACTCACTCATTCATTCATTATAAGGTTAAATGCATGATATTACCACCTCGTAAACATATGCAGTGTTAAGGAATGTAAAGTAGTAGTTTATGAAAACAGGAGTTGGCCATACAAGCAGCTCCTAAAAAAGTAGCTATGTAATATTGTAACAAATGTAGTGATCAGCTGGTATAATTCATTTCTGAAATCAGAGCAGTATTTATTATTGCACAACATAATTTCATTAAATGCAACTGATAACACCCATATGTATCAAACTGAGTCAGAAACGCAGCATTTCACTATATATTTTGCTATAAACAAGATGCAATATTTATATATTTCATTTATAATGCATATATTTCATAAGTAATTTATATTATAATATAAATAAATGTTAAGTATTATGTTATATTCATTATTGCTTATGTATTATATTGTTAATAAATATAATAATTTTGAAAATAATTAAATTTATTTTTATATACATAAATCCATATCACTGAAATCTATTTTGTGTGGCAATTTTTTTTGTGCTTTTTTCACAAATATCACAAAGAAACTATGTAACACATTGAATTAAATGTGAAATTTTGAAGCAGAAAAACTGAAATACATACATACACACAGATATACATAGATAGATAGATGGGATAGATAGACAGACGGATAGACGGATAGACAGACATACAGGCAGACAGACGGATAGACGGATAGACAGATATACATAGATAGATAGATGGATAGATAGACAAACGGACAGACGGATAGACAGACAGACAGGCAGACAGACGGATAGACGGATAGACAGACAGACAGGCAGACAGACAGATAGACGGACAGACAGACAGATGGATAGACGGACAGACAGACAGAACGTCAGACAGACAGTACAGACAGACAGACGGATAGACAGACAGACAGACGGATAGACAGATAGACAGATAGATAGAAATACACACTTTTTTGTTACAGAAAATTAAACCGTATTTTCTAGTTACTGTATTACTTTATCAAACCCTGAGTGAGACAGAAATAGAGCGAGACTTCAGGTTTTCTCATGCTAACACAATTCATGGGAAAAAGCAGCTTGTTAAGGGAAAAGCTATATGAAGAGCTCATGCTACTGTCATGCTACTGAAACACAAGCGTTGGTTCCTCAGAAACACTGCTGGCTCAGCCGCGTGTCACTGTTAGTGAGTGAGAGAGACAGAACACTGAAACTCACTATAAAACCCTCTCAGCGTGAGGCTGCTAATAACATCAAACTTTAAAACACGCCTGTTTCTGCAAAATTTTACGTGGCACCGCGGCTTTTATTCAGAGTGTTCATTAATTTTAAAAATGAAGTCTGCTGGCCCGTCTGACACGTTTAAATAAAACTGAGGCCGGCAGTGAGTATGTAGTACGGAGTGAATGGATTGGAGAGCGTTTCTTCACTTGGCTTCCACGCTTGCCCGCTGAACTCTGCCAGCTCAGATGCATTGAAGTCCTTAGGAGACGCCGCAGGACATCTGCTGTGCTGAAGTTAGCTTACAGTGGGCCGCCGTAATGAAGCAGGAGCACGCTGGGTCGGCCTTGTTATGTCAAAACAAACCGTTTGGTCCCGAGCGCTTCCGATGGGAGACGTAAAACTGGCTCATATCGACTCGTATAAAACGGGAGAGGAGTATTACAGTATTCTCAGTGAACAAACCATCACAGACTGCTCTCGCGGGTGGCTGACTGTGCTTTACCCATAGTGCTGTGCAATGCAAGAAAATGGATAAAAAGATCTGTTATCATTCGCAGTTCTGGGCACTGTTTTTTTGAGCCATGTGTGCTGTTAATGTCAGGAGAAGGATGTTATAATTCTGATTAATGGATGACACCACAAGAACGAGCACAGTCCCAAAAACATCACTAGTGCCTAAGTCCAATTTATGACTTTAAAGCTGCACTATGTAACTTTTACTGTGTTCAAAATTTGCAAAATGTATATAATGAGCGAGTACATCATGAATTCATCTTCCAAACCGTGTTTTTGTCTTATTCCGAATCACTACGGTACACTTATAATAAGTACTTATATTTGGACTATTGTAGCCTGGTCGGGTCGTCACCGCTGCGGAGTAACACATACCTGTGTGAATCGCCATAGACATAAACTTAGAGAAGTAGCTCCGGATGGAATGTTCTTCCGCGGGATGTGTGCAGTTCTGTTTATTAACCGCTAGAGCACCAAAAGTTACATAGTGCTTTAAAGGGCTCAACAACAAAAAAATATAAATAAATAAATAAAAATTATATACACTGCCAAAGCCCTGGCGCTCATAATAAAGCAGGAGCATGCTTGGTTGGTCTTACGTCAAAACAAACTGTTATTTACATTTTTTTTTTTTTTACTTAAGTGTAAATGAACTTTTTTTTTAATAATATGTATTATTACATAAACAATAACGAATGCAATTTAGTACATAAAATAATTGTATTTATATTATAAAATTACACAGATATTTATACTAATGTAAACGTTTAAAATAAATTAAAAATATAAATACATACATATATATATATGTAAGTATTATATATCATTTTTAAATATGTATAATTATAGCATGTAACATATAACAAAATCTACTTTATATGATAATGAATATAATATAGAACATGAACTAACATATATAAATTTTCGCTTTCACAACGAAACACAGCGTCTTCATGACATGGTGGCGGCAACAACAATACTACAGCGAGAATCAAACTTATGCCTTCTTTCCTTGCGTGAACATTTGGGCGGCATTATGCAAATCTTCCCACATCGTGACGTAGACATGTGGGGGCGTGTTAGAACGAGCCGTTTTAGGAGGGCGTGGCTGACTCTTAACTTTTATAAAGAATATCTCTTTGGATTTGAGACTTTAGTCTTTGCAACTTTACAGATCTTCTTTATGCACCAAGAGCTTGTAACACCCCAAAGAGAAAGGAAAACTTGAAATCGCATCATATGACCCCTTTAAAACTGGTTTTGTGCTCCAGGGTCACATATTATAAATAAATTAGATCTTCATATTAACGTATACACATAATACAAATAAAAAATAAATTAAATATTTATGTATAATATGTAAACTATAACATTGTACACAATTATGATTATAGAACATAAAATATAATACAATTAATTTATATTATAAATAAGTACTTTATATACATTTTTATATGAATACATGAATATTATAATAAAAAATACATTTAAATCTTTTTTTTAAATGTGCATAATGTTTAATATAGTACATTAACTAGCCAAACCTTGACATCATCAAACAAAAAAAAAGTTGTTATATTAATATACAAATATTATAATATTAATTGGAAAAGAACGTAACATTTAAATTAAAATGGATATATTTGTGTATGATAATAATAAGCTTAATTCATCTTTATAATATAAATAAATTATATATACACATTTTCATATTAAATGTATAAATATACATTTTATATATATATATACATATAGTAAATGTTTAATATGGTACAGTTATGAAATATACCGTAATGTTTCTTTTATTGCAC